TTCCGTTCTTTTGCATTTGCTGAGGAGTGGTTTACTTCCAATTATGTGGTCAATTTTTGAGTAGGTGTGATGTGGTGCTGAGAAGAATATATATTCTGTGGATTTGGGGTGGACAGTTCTGTAAATGTCTATTAGGTGTGCTTGGTCCAAATCTGGGTTCAAGTCCTGGATATCCTTGTTGATTTTCTGTCTGGTTGATCTGTCTAATATTGACAGTGGAGTGTTAAAGTCTCCCACTATCATTGTGTGGGAGTCTAAGTCTCTTTGTAAGTCATTAAGAACTTGCCTATGTATCTGGGTGCTCCTGTATTGGGTCTGTATATATTTAGGATTGTTAGCTCTTCTCGTTGCACTGATCCTTTTACCGTTATATAATGTCCTTCTTTGTCTCTTTTGATCTTTGTTGCTTTAAAGTCTATTTTATCAGAGACTAGGATTGCAACTGCTGCTTTTTTTTTTGCTCTCCATTTGCTTGGTAGATCTTCCTCCATCCCTTTATGTTGAGCCTATGTGTATCCTTGCATGTGAGATGGGTTTCCTGGATACAGCACACCGATGCTCTTTACCATTTGGTGTTTTTGGAGTGGCTGGTACTGGTTGTTCCTTTCAATGTTTAGTGCTTCTTTCAGGAGCTCTTATAAGGCAAGCCTGGTGGTGATGAAATCACTCAGCAATTGCTTGTTCATAAAGGATTTTATTTCTCCTTCACTTATGAAGCTTAGTTTGGCTGGAAATGAAATTCTAGGTTGAAAGTTTTTTTCTTTAAGGATGTTGAATATTGGCCCCCACTCTCTCTCTGCTTGTAGGGTTTTTGTGGAGAGATCTGCTGTGAGTCTGATGTGCTTCCCTTTGTGGGTAACCTGACCTTTCTCTCTGAGTGACTTTATCATTCTTTCCTTCATTTCAACCCTGGTGAATCTGATGACTATGTGCCTTGGGGTTGCTTTTCTTGAGGAATATCTTTGTGGTGTTCTCTGTATTTCCTGGTCTTGAATATTGGCCTGCCTTGCTAGGTTGGAGAAGTTTTCCTGTATAATAGCCTGAAGAGTGTTTTCTAGCTTGGATTCATTCTCTCTGTCACATTCAGGTACACCTATGGAATGGAGATTAGGTCTTTTCACATAATCCCATATTTCACATAATCCCTATATTTCTTGTTCATTTTTTAAAGTCTTTTTTTCTCTAATGTGGCCTTCTCATTTTATTTCATTCAGTTGATCTTCAATCTCTGATATCCTTTTTTTCTGCTTGGTCGATTCAGCTATTGAAACTTGTGTGTGCTTCGTGCAGTTCTCATGTATTTTTACCTCCAACAGTCATGTATATTCTTCTCTAAGCTGCTTATTCTCATTAGCATTTTGTCAAACCTTTTTTCAACATTCTTAGTTTCTTTGCATTGGGTTAGAAGATGTTCTTTTAGTTCAGAGAAGTTTGTTATTACCTACCTTCTGAAGCCTGTTTCAGTCAATTTATCAGACTCATTCTCCATCCAGCTTTGTTACCTTGCTGGTGAGGAGTTGTGATCCCTTGGAGGAGGAGAGGCATTCTGGTTTTGGGTGTTTTCATCTTTCTTGTGCTGGTTTCTTCCCATCTTTGTGGATTTATCTACCTGTGGTCTTTGTAGTTGGTGACTTTGGGATGGGGTCTCTGAGTGGATGTCCTTTTTGTTGATGATGAAGTTAGTTCTTCCTGTGTTTTAGTTTTCCTTCTAACAATCTGGCCCCTCTGCTGTAGGACTGCTGAGGTCCGCACCAGACTCTGCTTGCCTGGGGATCACCTGCAGCAGCTGCAGAACAGTAAGAGTTGCTGCCAGTTTCTTCTTCTGTTATCTTTGTCCCAGAAGGATACCTGCCCGATGTCAGCCTGAGTTCTTCTTTATGAGGTGTTTCTTTGGATATACAGGGGTTGGGGACCTGCTTGAGGAGACAGTCTGTCCCTTATAGGAGCTCAAAAGCTGAGCTGTGAGCTCTGTCATTCCATTCAGAGCTGCTGGGCAGGTACGTTTACATCTGCTGCAGCAGAACTCATTACTGCCTTTTTTTCTCTGGTGCTCTGTCCTGGGAAGGTGAGGCTTTATTTATAAGTTCCTGATGTGCTGCTGTTTTTTTTTCAGAAATGCCCTGCCCATCAAGAAGGTAGCCTAGTCATAGTCTGTCAGCAGAGATGTTGCTGAGTTGCCATGGGCTCTGCCCAGCTGCTGTGTAAACTTCCTTGCAGTTTTGTTTATAGAGGTATAGTTAGAACTGCCTCAGTAATGGTGGACTGCCACGGTAATGGCAGACTGTCTCTGTAATGGCAGACACCCTTTCCCCCACAGAGCTGAATTGTCCTGGGTCAGGCTGTGCTTGCTGTGAAACTCTCAATCCAGAGCATTTCAGATTGCTGTTCTTTGTGGGGGTGGGACCCACTGAGCCAGATGACCTGGCTCCCTGTTTCAATCCCCCTTTTTTCAGTTGAATGGGTGAGTCTGTCTCCTAGGCATTGCAGGCACCAGTTGAAATGGCCAACCACATTTGTGTGAGTTTTTGTATGGAGACCTCCTAGAGACTCGTGGTGCTTTTCCGCCCAGGAATCTCCTGGTCTGTGGGCAGTAAAAAGTTGTTTGGAAATGCGGTGATCACTCACCCTCTGCATTCTCGCTGGGAACTACACTCCAGAGCTGTTCCTATTCGGCCATCTTGGATCAGTCCTCTTTCTCTCTCTTTCAAGACTTTAGCAAAGAAGAAATACAAAATAAAAGCAAAAGAAAACACCACAGCTAAATATAAACATATGGTAACAAAAAATAAAAACCATTTCCCAAAAAACAGACAAGCCCAACTAATGAGGCTTTTAACATCAGGAACAGATGTCACCTGAGGTCAGGAGTTTGTGCCAAGCCTGGCCAACATGTCTCTACTAAACAAGCCTGGCCAACATGTCTCTAAAACCCCGTCTCTACTATTAAATACAAAACATAGCCAGGTCTGGTGGTGGTGCTTGTAATCGAAGCTCCTCAGGAGGCTGAGGCAGGAGAAAAGCTTGAACCTGGGAGGTGGAGGTTGCAGCGAGCCGAGGTTGCGCCACTGCACTCCAGCCTGGGTGATAGAGCAAGACTTCATCTATAAAAAAATAAAAATTAAAAAAAGAAAAGGAAAAAATACATTACTATTTACTAGATATGCAGATACAATAAAGGTGTGCAATAGCGCTATGAAAAGCACCTGTCTCCTAGACTGAGGGCAAAGTGATACGTGATTTGAATTCTGAAAGGGCAGGACTTAGCTAGAAGAAGAGATGAAGGTATTATTGCGTGGAGAGAAGACGGTATCTGTGAAGTCGTGGAAACAGAGTACCTTGTGGGCTTTCAGAAAGGAATAATCGTCCTAAACTGCGAGCAACTGAAAGCTGCTCTGGCCAATTTTAGTGGAAATGAATGATCTGCGCCTGTCCTGATTCTTAAGCCATTTAAAGTAGATTTTCCAAACTTAGTACAATGAAAAGTGTCGGATTGTTTCAAGAATCCGAATTACCATTCTGAGGAGTCCATTAGTGGCTTGTGGACATTATTATATTATTAAGTATTTAGAACAAATGTGGTGGAGAGAAACTCCATCATTTTAGTCTCTGATTAGTGGTTTTAACAATTTATGTAAGCCACTCAGATGTTATCTTTGGATGTTTAATTTTGCAGGCAGCTCAATTTATGCCTCAGGTCACTTTACATGTAGGTAGAATCTTTATCAGGGCTTGCTGTGTTGGTTTCTCTGTTCTTCTACATTTGCTGACTTTGGTTTCTTGGCCTTCAGGTACATTTTCTACCTCCTGCGGTATTTACACATTTGGTACATCCTGGCTGTCTCTTTTTATTTCATTTCTTCTTTTTTTTTTTCCCCCTTTCATTCAATAGGGTCTCAGCTCTGTCGCCCAGAGGTGTGATCAGAGCTCACTGCAACCTTGAACTCTTGGACTAAAGTGAGTCTCCTGCCTCAGCCTGGAATTACAGGCTTAAGCCTTGCTGTACCCAGCCTGGTTGTATTTAGTTAGCTGTGCCTCATTCCAGAAACCGTTACTTAGCAGGACTAGGGTTCATACTCTGCAAGGCTCTGAGATGATACTAAATAAGGTATGATGCCTGTCCTCAGGGGAGCTTACAGTCATTAAATCAGCATCACAAAATCGCTAATTACAATATCTTTTCCTTAGGCCTGTAATGGCTGAATTAGTGAGGACTCCTTAGGTTGCAGGTGACTGAGATTCCATACAAATAAGTTTATCAGAAAGAGGCATTGGTTAGCTGGTTTATATTGCCACTAACTGTTGTTTTGGTAGACCTTCAAAGATTCCTACAGCTGAATTTCGTGGATCATCAACTGTTCAGATAGCACAGCAGTTTCATTTCCAACTGTTATGAGGAATTTTGGTTTTAGAATTCCTTACTTTGGGTGATATTATTGGTGCTGTGTATTTATTTTTGGTTTTCAGTAGGAAGCAGTGAAGCCGGCTTGCTTCTGCCGTTTTTGGAACCAGGTATATTTCTAGCATTCCCTGCTTTTGCTAGCGGTACATTCCTGCACTCTGAGAAGGTGGGCTAAATGGTTGCTTATCAATTTGCATAATTTCCAGTTTTAGGTTTTAGCATCTAATAAACACACCCCCTTGGCCCGGCGCGGTGGCTCTCGCCTGTAGTCCCAGCACTTTGGGAGGGCGAGGTGGGCGAATCACTTGAGATCAAGCGTTCCGGACCAGCCTGACTAACATGGCGAAATCAGTCTGTACCCCAAAATACAAAAATTAGCTGGGCGTAGTGGTGCACGCCGGTAGACCCATATACTTGGGAGGCTGAGGCAGGAGATAAATCCATTGAACCTGGGAGGTGGAGGTTACAGTGAGCCGAGATGGCATTACTGCACTCCAGCCTGGGTGACAGAGCGAGACTTCGTCTGGAAAAAATGTAAAAACAAAAACACTGAAGTTACACACTTTGGAAGCAACCACCAGAAGCCAAGGGGCAGCCTGCTAGGCCCTCGCAAGGTTTGATCTCACGACCCCTGGTTTACAAGACCAGTGCTCTAACCCCTGAGCTACAGGGCCACAATGAGATGAGGTTACTTCCGGTTACCAAAGCTATTGTCACCCTCAACTCAGTTTTGTTGTTTGGTTTATATTGGTTTCTAGAATATTTGATTTTTCACTTTCCCCCCTTTTCTGATTTTCTGGTGTATGGTCAAACAAAATAAATCCCCGCATTCCCTAATAATTTTAGCATCCCCTCCAATTAGCTTCTGGCCATTTTTAGCCGTGCCCCCTTGTCTGCAGTACTTTTCGCGCTGGTTAACGCCCAGATGTCCTGGACTTCAGTTCTTAGGGCCTTGGGGGAAGTGCCCTCATCTGCCTCAAATTCCCCAAATCATAAATCAAAAGAGCCGCACCGACTAAGTTTAGAGTTCCTTCTGAGATTGCTCCTCAGAATTACCTGATTTGGATGTCCTTTTTTTCTCTTGTTTCTGAAGGTAAAAATGGTACTATATGAAGTACTACATGATTGAAATCTGATCTTAAAATTAGAGTCTTAGTTTTTTTTCAGTATTGACATGACATGGGTTTTCTTCCTGTATACCTTTTCAGTGATTACCCAGCAGTCCCACTTCTAGGAATCCACCTCAGTGAAATTCCAGCTCAGCTCCATGACTGTCTTGCCTAGGACAGTGCCTGTAGCATTTCGAGGTAACAGGTTGTTAGAAGCAGCCTAGGTGGCCATCAGGCATACTCTCTGTGATGTTCATATTATGCAGCAGCCACGAGTGACAAACAGCTGTACATGTGGCAAGATGGGTAGATTTTTCAAACTGTGTTGAGTAGAAGAAAAGAGATTATGATTGAAATCACACAAATCAACAACGTATTTTTCAAGGATAGTTTATTTTCTAAAGAATAATTCTGGTTGGGTGCGGTGGCCCACACCTGTAATCCCAGCACTTTAGGAGGCCGAAGTGGACACATTGCTTGAGGTCAGGAGTTTGAGACCAGCCTGGCCAACATGGTGAAACTCATTTCTATAAAAATACAAAGATTAGCTGGCCGTGGTGGCATGTGCCTGCAGTACCAGCAGTTTTGCAGGCCTATACTGGTGGATCACTTGAGGTCAGGAGTTTGAGACCAGCCTGGCCAACATGGTGAAACCCTGTCTCTACTAAAAATACCAAAAAAAAAAAAAAAAAATCAGCCAGGTGTGGTGGTGCTTAAACCCAGGAGGCAGAGGTCGCGGTGAGCTGAGATCGCACCACTGCATACCAGCCTATGTAACCGAGTGAGACTCTGTCACAATAATAATAATAATAATAATAATTTTTAAATGTTTTAGAGAGGGAGTCCGTTATGCTGGGAGAGAAGAGAGGGCTATATGGTGAGCTTGACAGAGAAAAAGAACAAAACTGTAAAGGAAACAGAGAGAGAAAAAGAGAAAGATTTTATTGACCAATAACAAAAACGAGCCATGGACAGCTAAGTGTGATTAACTTACCTCTCCGAACTCGAAGCCTCTTCTTCTCTCTTCCCTGACTCCATGATTAAGTCCACCTTTTACACTCTTATTGTTACCTCTGCAGAGTCACTAGCACTTACTCTTTCTTGCTGTAGGATCCTCTTAAAATCGTAAAATTATTAATTATTTTTCTCCATTCTCCACCTTCGTCTTTTCCAACCATTCTTTTGAATTCGGACAGTTCGTCTATCTGTTCTGATTTTATTTCTGCTTCAAAGAGTTCACAGTAAATTTTGGGCTAGGTGTGGAAACTGGAAAAGTAAAAAGCAAAACCGTGTCTGACTTGTGTTTCTCTCCACAAAGCACCTACTCAGGACGCTGAATCTGAGCTCTGAGCATCCCTCTGGCAAGGAAACTGTGAAGGAGTTTAGTAGACACTTAGGAAGCACCGTTCCAAATATTTGCCACTTTCCCTATTATTTCATTTCCGACTTAAACTGAAAGCAACATAAGGCACTTTGATAATGCTATTTTTAGCATCATTTAGAATACCACCGGGCAAAAGAATAAATACCGTTCTGAAAACCGGGAGCCTAGGCGCCTCCCATCCGAGATCTTTGCCGCTTGTCAGAGCCCGCATCTGCTAACTGCGAGTTATATAATAAAACTCAAGGGTTAACAGCGTGTGTCAGGATGGCCGAGTGGTCTAAGGCGCCAGACTCAAGTTGCAACTTCCCATGGGTGGGAATTCTGGTCTCCGACTGGAGGCGTGGGTTCGAATCCCACTTCTGACACAAAGTTTTTGATCCTTTAATCCTAGTGTGAAAACCCTAATTAGGGGGCCGGGCGCGGTGGTGTAAGGTAATGTCAGCGCATCACCTGAGGTCAGGAGTTCGAGACCAGCCTGGGCAACGTGCTGAAACCCCGTCTCTACTAAAAATGCAAGCATGACCGGTAGTGGTGGCAGGCGCCCCTAATCCCAGCTACTCGCGAGGCTGGAAGCAGGAGAATTGCTTAAACCTGGGAGGTGGAGGTAGCAGCGAGCCAAGATCGTGCCATTGCACTCCAGCCTGGGCGACAGAGCGAGACTCCTTCTCAAAAATCCACACACACCTAGCTCAGGGGGCTTACGGGGGAGGATTGTTTGAGCCCAGGAGTTCGACCCCGTCTCTACAAAAATGAGCGGGGCGTGGTGGTGCGCGCCTTTAGTCCCAGCTCCCTGGGAGGCAGAGGTAGGGGAAAGACTTGATCACTTGAGCCCAGAAATGCCAAGCTGCAGTGAGCTGCATGATCGCGCCGCTGCACTCCACCCAGGGCGACAAAAACGGTGGTAAAGGTATAGATTTTGCCAAAACCATTTTGCAACGACCACGTTTCAGGAGTTTTCGCCAATGCTCCCTCCCACATTTTAACTTAACCAGCCCGTGAGTGGGACTCACACGTTCCCTGTGCAGCCCCCTTAATGGTTTCTGTAAGGGTAGGCGGCAGGCAGGAGTATTACTGCACAGCCATCTCGTTTTCGTCCTCAAGGCCAAACCACGGCCACCTCTTTTTCTCCCCCCTTCTGCCCCCCTTCTCCTTCCTCCTTTCTTCTGCCCGCGTTTCCCCGTTCTTCCTCTCCCTCGCTTAGCTAAACCCCCTTTGATTTCTTCTGTGTCCTGGGAGAAGGGATGTAAAGTGAAGAGACACAATGTAGGTTATTATGGGACAGTAAGAGAAATTCGTCTTGATTTAAAACTCTGAGTATATATACTTGCATTATTTTGACTTTTCTATAAGTTAGTCAAAAATCACTCGCATTATTTTGAGTTTTCTATAAGTTAACTTCCACCACAACAGAGCTTAGCCTAGTGAACAGGAGTCAAAGGTGCAGAGCTCTAAAAAAATCTGATATTTGCTAGAGCGTCTGCCAGACAATGCCAAGCCCTTCACTGAAAGGAGGAGCTCAGTCATTTCTGTCCTCGCTGTTTAGGGCTGACAATTCTTTCTGACACATAGGACACCTGATACAAGTTGCTTTGAAGTAAACCAGAGAGTGTTAAAGGAGACGGGTTCTTTTCGTTGCTGTTTGTTTAGAGGTTGTTTAATTCTGACCTTGGTCTCCAGTTTGCCCGTTTATACAACTAGGTGTGTGTATTTAATTTTAGTGTTGTGGTCAGGTGGAACAGTTTAAATCTTTTTTGCTTTCCTTGGTTTATGGTCTTTCTAATGAACTCTTCCTATATTTCCAACACGAATAAAAATGAACGCATTATACTTTTGCTCTGAATCTTTCTTCTATATCTCCCTACTTGATTATTTTTATTTAAAATATTGGATGTATGTAGTGTGAAGGGACTCCAAAATCAGCAAGGTCCAAATAAGGTGTTTCTTAGGCTCAATACAATGTGCCAGCCAGTTGACATGCTCAAAATGTAGCAGACCAGAGATACTGTCAAGGTTATTAAAGACCCCACCATTGCCAGTGTGGGGCTCGGCGGGTGAATCACGAGGTCAGGAGTTTGAAACTAGCCTGGTCAACATGGTGAAACCCCGTCTCTACAAAAAATACAACAAATTAGCTGGGCGTGGTGGCCCATGCCTGAAGTCCCAGCCACTTGGGAGGCCGAGGCAGGAGAATCACTTGAACCCGGGAGGCAGAGGTTGCGGTGAGCCAAGATCGTGCCATCGCGCTCCAACCTGGGCAACAGAGACTCCATCTCTAAAAACAAACAAGCAAAAAACCCGACACAATTTGATTAAAGTAACTAACTCCATATTCATCTCTTCAGGGAAATTTTTGAAACTTTCATTTGTAAAGATGTCTTTTAGGATAAGAGCAGTAACAGCACATTTTCTATGAACTGCATCTATGCACTTGAAAGAAGACATTTTAGGAGCTCCTGAAGAGACCCTTTAGACCATAAAAAAGGTAGTTTGTGATGGCAGCTGACCACGCAAAAGTCACATAACTGTCTTGTAAGCTAGGGGTCAACGGAGTAAAACCTCTGATGCCCATTGGCACCTGATCCTATGAAATCAGTTTGTCCGGGAGCTGGAAACCTACAAACATTAGTATAGTTAGAGTTAGCCCTCCACGTCTGTAGGTTCCCAGCTGCTGATTAAACCAACATGGATCAAGAAAACAATTTTTTAAAAAAAGGATGGTTGCATCTGTACTGAACCTTACAGACTTTTTTTTTTTTTTTTTTTTTTGAGACAGAGTCTCACTCTGTCACCAGGTGCTAGGCTAGAGTGCAGTGGCACAATCTCGGCTCACTGCAACCTCCGCCTCCTGGGTTCAAGCAATTCTCCTGCCTCAGCCTCCTGAGTAGCTGGGACTACAGGCGCATGCCATCACACCCAGCTAATTTTTGTATTTTTAGTAGAGACGGGGTTTCACCATGTTGGCTAGGATGGTCTTGATCTCTTGACCTTGTGATCTGCCCGTCCCAAAGTGTTGGACATTACAGGCGTGAGCCACGGCACCTGACTTCTACAGATGCTTACATTCTTGTCATTATTCCCTAATCAATACAGTATAACAATTATTTACATAGCATGTACGTTATATTAAGCATTATAAGTAATTTGGAGATGATTTAAAGTAGACAGGAGGACGTGCGTAGGTCATATGCAAATTCTATAAAATACCCCGTTTTACGTGAGGACCTTGAGCATTGATGGATTTTGGTATGCGCAGGGTATCCTAGAACCAATCTCCCACGGATACCAAGGTACGGCTCTGTTTTTAAAGAACCTGAAGTTTGATTCTAATGTGCAAAGTGTGAGAACCACTGTTGTAGGACATTTCTGTATCACTGGGATTTTGTGTGTGATTTTTCTGTATCACTGGTTTTGTGACGATGTTTTAAAATGTGGAACGCTTCACGAATTTGCTTGTCATCCTTGCGTAAGGGCCACGCTGATCTCTCTGTATCATTTCGATGTCTGTATATATGCCGCCGAAGTGAGCACAGCCCTATTTGCTGCTTGCATACTTACAGGTTTTCATCATTGTTTAAGCCGAAGCCAATATTTATGGGGCAAAGGAAACCCCTGGTCATGTAGCATGAATCATATTTAACGCTACCCTCTAACAACAATTAAAGTAATTGTGTTTCTCCTTCAGAACAAGAATCCTAAAAGGTACACTGAAGATAGTATTTTAAATCTTATAAAAATATGGGTATTTTCACTGGCATCTTTCATAACTCAAATTTATTAAGTTATGTGTTATTTATATATAAAAAGCAAAACACGTGTTGGTGTTAAGGAAAACATTATTCATGGCAATCGTTAAACACAGTAAAGAAAATTTGGGCCGGGCGCGGTGGCTCACGCCTGTAATCCCAGCACTTTGGGAGGCCGAGGCGGGTGGATCACGAGGTCAAGAGATCGAGACTATCCTGGTCAACAAGGTGAAACCCCGTCTCTACTAAAAATACAAAAATTAGCTGGGCATGGTGCCTGTAATCCCAGCTACTCAGGAGGCTGAGGCAGGAGAATTGCCTGAACCCAGGAGGCGGAGGTTGCGGTGAGCCGAGATCGCGCCATTGCACTCCAGCCTGGGTAACAAGAGCGAAACTCCATCTCAAAAATAAAATAAAATAAAAAATAAAAAAAAATTAAAAAAAAGAAAACTTTGTTAAAGGGGGATTTTGCAGTAGGCGAGAGACACTGGGCTCAATGTTGAATACGACGAGGAGAAGTGGGAGTTTATAGCCAAGGATCAGGGTGGGGAGATGAGGTCTGTGGATGGAAAATTACTGAAAGGAAACATCACAGGTAAGAGGCTTCTGGCTAAGCTGAACCAACAGGATTCTTGAAGGCAGACCAGGGTGATGACATCACTGTGGAATGGTGGAGGATGAGGAACCTAATCAGATAATACAGGATGGAGGATTCTGGCTAAAATGACTTGGCACCATTGTTGTTAAAAGTGGGCAATGCAGAACGACAAACATGTAAGTCCACACGTCAGGGCTTAGTGGACAAGAGCCTTCAGTGGAATCTGACTAGAGTTTGGTCATGAAGAGAATCTTTGTCACTGTTCAAAAAATACCCAGTAAGTAATGAAGTTATAAGAGGTTAGTTGATATATTATCTAAATGTGTTAGTGAGTTAAATGGTTTAGCATCTTTTCTGACTTGAGTTTTATAAAATTTAGATAAAGTAAAAATAGAAACAGCAGTGTTAAGCATTGTGGTTTACAAAATGAAGCCTCCAAATTCTCCCCTGGAGGACTCCAACCTCCATCTTTAAGAATCCAGGGTCTGGGCCGGGCATGGTGGCTCACCCCTGTAATCCCAGCACTTTGGGAGGCCAAGGCAGGTGGATCACCTGAGGTCATGTGTTTGAGACCAGCCTGGCCAACATGACAAAACCCATCTCTTTAAAAAAAAAAAACAAAAACAAACAAACAAAAAAAACACACCAGGGTCTGATTTTTCAAGTGTCTGAATAAGATAGTAAAGAAGGCTAAGGTGAGCCCAGCAAAGAGAACCAAACACCACTGAAATCTGGGGAGCAGGGCCAGCTATGTAAGTTGAAGTGCCCAGTGAAAAATGAAAATGAAGGAGCCCTTATTCAAAAAGCAGGGGGCAGTGCTGTTATAATTATGAATACATAGTGATATGGGTGTGAGCTACAGCCTCGCTCCCAGCAAGATTTCCTCCCAACTCACCTGGGCACTGCCAGCCTGTGTCAGGAACGACAGCCATTATGCCACACCGGAGAAACCCCGGGATTAGGCTGCAGGGTCTTCATCCCTCTTCTGTAGACTCCCTAAGGGGCTTAACTGGTGGAAGCAGGTGGGGAAGAGAAGTCGGGAAAGAGACTGGAGCAGGGTGTCAGTTAGCAGGGTGTTAGCTGCTGAGAACTCGTCCGGGGGAAGCAGAACTCCTGGGAGCCGACTGACTCCCACGCCTAAGCACACTCCATTGCCCTGTTGGCTCTCACTTCCAAAACACAAGTTTAAGGATAAAACTATGGAGAACTTCAGGAGAGCCATTGCAAAACATGAAACCCCAAGAGTAGGGCTGAGTGTGTGTAGGCGTGCTCGGGGGCTGGTAGTAAGTTGTGTGACTCCACAGAGCTCAGGACCGTGAAGCCCACCCCTTTGGGGAGCTTAGATTCTCAGAATCTTTAAAAGGGCTTTGCGCAATCCCACGTCTGGAAGAACCAAGACTGACAAAAATGGGTTTAAAGACACACCTAGAAAGCGATCTGAGCCTCAGTTTCCCAACAGCGTCCGAAGGCCAAGCAGTCAACACACACACGCTCTTCTCGTTGACTAGGAATACTCTTTGCCATCTTTGTGAAGGAAGTTTCGTTGCGTGGGGGACACAGAGAACTGAATCTTCTCTGAGGGGCCGTGTCGTCTCCACGCCTCCCTCAATTCCGCGAGCAACGATTTTCACAAGTGCACGCGTTTCCTTCTCCTCTTCCCTTCGCTGCATCTTCAGCTTCTCCTTGGTCTCTCCCACCCGGCGGAGGACGGGGCCGCACGACCACGCGGTGCCCCTGCCCTGTGCTCGGCCTGACCAGGGACCCGGAGGAGTCGAGGTGCTCCCAAGGCAGACGGGGCTCGCACCGCGGAAGCGCAGGAAACAAAGCAACCCTGAGTCCTAAATGCAGCCCTGGAAGTCAGCGTGTGCGAGCCCAGCGGGATGAGTATCAAGTTCCCGAGAAAGGATTTCCATCCGCTTTTTAAGTTGCCAACGCGCGGACGACAAGTGTAGGTGGCAGATTAGGGAAGGAAACGGGAGACATCCTGAGGTCGAAAGGCAGAGACTAGACAAGATGAATGAAGAAACACTGCCCGGCTGGAGAGCGATGTTAGATGTATAAATTGGTGGGAGATAAGGTACCTGCCAACCCGGGGCAGCAGAGTGGCGCAGCGGAAGCGTGCTGGGCCCATAACCCAGAGGTCGATGGATCGAAACCATCCTCTGCTAGCTGCTTGTTTTTTCCTCCCCGTTGCTGGATCTTGCACCGGTCAGAGGTGCTTACACACGTGTCGTGAGCGAATGAAGATCTGTGACTGAGGGAGTAAACTCTGTTTTAACTGCCCGGTCCTTTCTGAAACCCAGGGGTTCCACTTTTAAAGAACTGGAGCATAGTCGGAGAAATGAGTGAATCTGCAAATGGGAGGTCTGAGAAAGGAGGCGACAGAGGAGCAGAGATGGGTCTGGAGAAGCGGGGAAAGGAGACTGAGGAAGAGGTGAAGAAAAAGAGAGCGAAAAATGAAGACTAGGTTGGGTGACCTGGAACAAGATTTGACACAAATCTTGGAGACGTGGATTTTGAAGGAGGTAATTTCCCAGACAGAAGCGGGTGTCACGTGTTTATTCCTCTGGCATTACGATTCCAGGAAACCCGTTTCTAAAAGAGTTAGGAAAACACCAGAGGAAACAAAGGGGAATTGAACTACTTCTCTTGTGCCATAACTTTACCCACATGTGTGATTCCTCTGAAGTTTCTTCCCACTTCCTGGCGTCGTTGTTGAAATGCGTATCCGAGCGCCCGCTCTAAAGCCGCCTTTATCCGCAGGAACGATCCTAAGGGCTCCTGTTAGCGATCATGAGCTGCGGATATATTCACTACTGGAGGGGTCCCACCCTACTCTGAGCTCGATATTCTTCGTCGTTTCTCCTGTAATAAATACTACACAATAATTATTTATTTAACGCATAAACAGTTTGAGGGTTAAATGCTCAATGTAATAAACCTTGGCTGCAGGGCTGAGGCAGGGGTATAGGAGCAGAACGCTTGAAGACCCCAGTAATCACCGAAATCATGAGCCTTATTAACACTTCTTGGTCAATAAGAAGTCAGTTGTTGAGGCCTGGATAGCTCAGTCGGTAGAGCATCAGACTTTTAATCTGAGGGTCCAGGGTTCAAGTCCCTGTTCAGGCGACTAGTGATGGTTTTGCTTTAGTCAGATCTAAATCACAGACCATTTGGGAACATCTTGTGAGGAGAGGAGAGGGACATATCACGAAGGCCAAGACAGACAAAGGCAGCTTTTTTCATCAGATCATCCCTTTCTCTACATCAACTGAAACATATCCCCAAGTTTTCAAGAGAGGTGGAAAAGGACATCGTATAAAAATAATAAACTGATGATGGAATTCCTGGGAAATAAAACTCCCTTGAAATGGTGCATGAATCCAGACATCGGGGGAGCAACTTGGACATTCTCGCTTAAAATGCAAAATCTCCCGGAGCAGCGACCTTTGCAGCCTGTCTCTATGTTTCTTGGAGTTCAGACCAGCTCTTCCTACACCGAAAATCTGACCACTTCGCAACAGTTCCTGGTTGAAAAACGCATTTCCAAACACCTTTCGAAATTGTGTTTTCTGTGTTTACATGATCTCTGTCACTATCCTGGGATTTGGATTACAGTGAAGGAAAGGACCCTGATCACAGGCTTCTAGTGCATGGCTTCTGGGGCAGTGGGCTAAACTACGCCACTTCAAAACAGAGGAACTGAGAGTTCAACATTGTTGATCGTTCTTTGGTCTTGTCCCTTCTGTCCTCAGCCTGACAATATTCAGTCCAAACACTGCATTGGAGTCCATTTGTAAGGTCTCACCTGTTCTTTCTTCGGTTATATGATTCATTTGAAATAATTAGGTCCATTTTGACTCTTTCCCCTGACTTACTTTATTTTATTTTTTGAGATGCAGTTTCACTCTTGTCACCCAGGCTGGAATGCAATGACATCATCTGGGCTCCCTGCAACCTCTACCTCCCAGGTAGCTGGGATTACAGATGCCTACCACTGTGCCTGGCTAATTTTTGCATTTTTAGTAGAGACAGGGTTTCACTATGTTGGCCAGGCTGCTTTTGAACTCCTGAACTCAGGTGATCTGCATGCCTAAGCCTCCCAAAGTGCTGGGATTACAGGCATGAGCCACCATGCCCAGCCTGTTTTATTTTTCGTACATACATAAAACATAACATCATTTTAA